GTATCATTATATTAAATATGAAGAGTTTTTTTTACTACTTTGCTGCCTTCATTATATTTATCAAGTAGTTATAACAAACGTAGAGAAAGTCAACTATTAAGATTCATCATTTACGAAAGTCTTTCAAGTTTTATTATCAGTTTTTGTCCCAATATGTATCTATAAAATTATAACTAGAATCAGACCCCTTCTATTAAGGGTGGATTAATTTTTTTATGAACGTGGGTTAGATGTAAAAGAGATGAAACTCGTAAATTTCAAAAAAACATCAAAGTTCGAAATATTAATTAATTTGGCAATCTCAACAAAGAAACGTATGCTATAAATTAATATCGAGTAATTTCACAAGATAATTTTAATCAAGATTCAAATAAGAAAAATCAGATCGAATCGAATTTGGGTAAGTTTTTTTAAATATGTCAAAAATTATGATGAAAATTATTAAATTCAAAAAATTTTTGAATTTTTCTGCGATGTGCTGATTTTATGATGGTTTTAAATAAGAAATCTGTTGTTTTGGCATTTTATAAAACCATGAAAAATACATTTAGAAAATAGGAGTTTTCATACTAAGAGGCACCTTTCAAATTGCACATATCAGAAATGTGCACGCCTATAATGAAACTGATTAGAAGAACTGATAAACGATTTATTTCAGTGAAATTATTAAGACAGAATGAAACACTGACACATTACGATTAAAAATTTCACAAAAAAAGCTAAATATAAGCAAAGACTTATGTCAATGACTACTATCACGGGAGATCTAAGATAGGCACTGTAATAAAACATATAGGAAAGAGTTACAATTAAGACGGCAACGTTTCTGCTAACCCAATCCAGCGTCCCAAAAGTTACAGGATTTTCGTGATTTTTTTCCCATAGAAAGAAGTTGAAAAAGTATTCAAGTTTTGTTGGTACTTGTGACGTATATTATTAACTACTTTTACACATTTTCATGAACAAAAATACCGCATAGTTTCTTAGAAATCGAAAAAAAGACACCTTCACGGGTGGCAAGTTAGCGCACCCAATTTTTGTCTAATATAAAAAAATTTAATTTTTTTTTATAAAATAGAACGAATTTGCTGAATCCTGAACAAAAATCACTAAGAAAAGTTAAAAATTGACATAATGGGGGTATTGCAAAAAAAATTTTATTCCCCCTTTTTTTAGCTCTAAAAAAAGTGAGATAGTGCTGTAACATTAAAAGAAATGATTGTAAAATTATGATTTTAGAAAACATGGTTACGAGAAAAACGCGTTTATAGTTGCCAACTGCTTTTTTTCGCTTGCGTTCATTTTACCCATTTTAAACAGACCTAAATCTTTAAATTTCTATCCACCTTTGTTCATGTCACCATTCTCGGGATAATTTTGTTACGGAGTGTACTTCGTTCGGCATGAACCAAGGGACGTGTAGAAATCGACGTTTCCCTCAAAGATCGGCACATTTTCATTTAAATTAACACATTAATGTGCTATTTTTCGTGGAAAACGTCGAAATGTTCTACGGTATAAATATTGAAGTTTTCTGTAATACCTAATAACTAGATCCTGTGCATTCAACCCTTTTTAAGTATGGGTTTGTTGATCAATAATTTATTTTCTAACTATAGCGAGTATCTCCAACCTAAACTTCCATAGGCCACGGAAAAGGGCGGGAAAATAAGTCCGTGTTACATGTCTTTCTATATTCAAACGTGCTGGTTTCAGTTTAGCAACGTACTCCATGTGTTATTTTTTGCCCTTTGCTCCAGTTTTTTAAGTAGCATTCTGACTCTACTGTATCATAAGTTTTGTTTATGTTGTGATGTCCACCTATGTGCAATCTGGCATCAGCAGTTAAATATCTCTTTTAAGTCAATTTTTTTTCAGTATTTATTGTGAGCGATCTATAAGATCAAGTTCCCTTGGATTAAAACTTACTAAATTAAAAATTTGCTTACTACTTAAGCTAGGATTCACTGGCAGTCACTCCGTTCCTATGATGTGATGAATACCTAATGCGTATCAGGTAACACAGTGGCATTTGGTAGATTGCGGTTGCTTTTGCTGGCTGTTTGCTCAATAGTTTATATTTTTTGTGATTAATGTTCTGTAATTCGACGTTGGTGAGGATGCTGGCGTATTTAATGTAATCTTTGTAGTTTATTCTTTATTTATCGTGTGTGTTATCCAGTTGTTTGAGCCACCTGATGAGAGATATTTTTACTATTTCTGTTAATGCCTGTTTGTGATTATCATAGTTGAAATCCTTCATCATAATTTAGCACTTCTGAGAATTCTCTTTTTTGATATGATTTAGGTCTAGGTTCATTTAGCAATGAAGTTTACCATTTAAGGGCTCAAAGGGGATTTAAAATATATGAAATATTGTATTGTAATTTCGAGCAGGATTTTTTTTGCCTCCTTTGCATTTTCCAAAACTCCAAAATGTTGATTATTCACTGTGTTATATACTAATAACTTAGTATTAAGTATTGTAAAAATAAAATATTATAATCAAGAACGATGCAAATTAGACAGGCAAGCAAACACACACAACGCAATGACAAACGCATGATCTAGTGAGAGAAAGGCGGGACAGCTCGAGATGTACACGAGGCTGACAGGCATTCAACGGCGAGCGTAGGCCAAGCCATCGTTTGAATGTATGTGTGACCGTGAGCGGCCAACATGTGCCAGCGCGTTAGAGCAGGCTGCACATGTATATGTAAGCTCGCGTATGTGTACAAGGCGCATACGAAGAAATCGTGTCACGTGCGCGCGAGATGAAACCCGTGGCGGATGAATTCGACGAATATGAGGAAAAAAACATAATTGCTGGCTTGCTCGCATGCTTCCTCATCACCGAGAGATGACTCGTGTGCGTCACTAGGGTTACCGAGCGATCCGAGTTGGTATGGGTATATAGAACGGCACATGCGTGACCCGCGGGTCAAGAAGTGACCAAGGGCGCACTATTTTGCAACTAGGGAAAAACACTGTTTGCTCCCGCTGAGAATATGCATGCATGAATTAGTACATAATCAGGGTAAAAATTAGGCTCTGGGCAGACCCGTGAATATCGTTGCGGCAGATCATTTAATATCGTTGAGTGAGCAAAGGTTTGGGCTAATCAATTAATTACGGTGGTAGAGCGAACTTTTGTGTCGAACGACGGTACTGTTAAACTCCGGGTGATTCTTTATTCGAGATAAATTATACAACGAGCATTAAATGGCATCACCGAGTACCGTGTAATTGATACTCCGCGACGAGTCGAGTCCGTGTGTGCAACGAGTTATTATTTGAACAAATTGTAAAACTCGAGGTGGTGTGAGCAACACCGAGATAACAGCAGCCCCAGCAAATCAGCAACTCGATAGACCGTCATCATCAAGGTCTTCTGCCATAATAGTTTGTAAGCGTTTGTTGTTCTTGTAATTATTTCAAGTCTATACGTTCGTAAATAAAGTCTTGTGTGTGAACCTCACCACAGTCTTATATATTCATTTCAACGTTCCTCTCCTCGAACAACAACTGCTATTTAAAGTAACACATTAAAGTTATTAGCCACGGAAAGAGCTACGTAACAACTGAGATAAAGCTGTTTTTGTGAGCCTTTTCGTATACTTTACATGTTAAATTTTTTCTTCTTATGCGTTTTTTTGTGACTCGTACTTGTGATCAACTATCGTAACTTTCAGTGTGTACCGATTGAGTTACAGTAGCAGGGTCGCGTATACATTCTTCAGAACACCAATCACAACCGAAACCTCGGGTGAGGTGATCGAATTCATAGGTCACTTTCAATCATAGATTTATGAAGGAAATAACAAAAAAACGTAAATTGAAAAAAATATGCTTGAGTGTTTGCACAGAGTGACTTATGGGTCGAACCGTAACCATTCATGTTCTGAAGAAGTGTACGAGACCCTGCTGCTGTACCTTCAACGGTTTGCTCTGAATGTTACGACAAGTGGGGTGCATTTTACAAAAACGTAAAATGCCAGAAAACGCTGGAGAAGAAAAAATGCTCACGAAATCAGCTGTATCTCAGTAAATAAGAAGGATTTCAAATTTTTTAAAATGCAATTTCATGATTTTTTTTCTATTCTTTATTATATTACGCTCATAATCGATACCAATTTGAATCAAATATCCATATACATTCAAGGAGAACGTTATTGTTTTAAAAATTTGTAACCACGGCTTTTGATCCTTTTTGAAATTCCCTAAAACATATTTAAAATCCAGGAAAATCTGAAGACCCCCTGTGACATGTAATTCAAAATGTTTTGAATTTTACCCATATTTATACATATGACCAAATTGAAGTTGAATTATTCCCGTAGTGAGTAAGTGACTTTTTGTACTGATCACAACTTGTTTAGCTCATTAGCAGTACTGACAGTGACTTTGAGAAAATATATGTCACATACAAATCGATAGAATTGTACCTACTCTTTCTGACAGTAACTTTATTTTTTCGAAAAATTCTTTTTTTATGCTGAAAATTTGCTTTAAATTAGAGTGTATTTTCCAGAAAATATTTCCTGGATCAAGTTATACAGATCAAAAGTAAAATCTATACAGAAGTATCGTGTTAAACACGTCACTCACACTGTCTGAGCTGAGAGTCACTGTGTGCGGGAGCATAACGTTTTTGAGACGTAAAACCATGTATTTTTGGACGTTTGCGGTCATAATGTTCTGCTCAGTTGTTATTCCATCTTAACATTATAACACGATAGCCTGAATAGACTTTCTGTATGAAAAGTGGGATTCTGAAAAGTTGAGGTCACCATCGAAAAAGAATAAATCTATCGATTCGCTGTATATATGTAAAATGTAGACGTAAAATATTTTTCCAAAGTCACTGGTAGTTTTGTCAGTAAGCTAAAAAAATTTCAAACGTGCATATCACCTAATTTATTTATCTTGGACGCAGCCATATAGATTCTTTGACTTATGTATTTATGATAAAAACTTATTTGTAAAATTTTGTTTTTCAGATTTATATTTTACAAAAATGAGCAAATAGATTATGTTATAAATGGATGATCAACGTTCAAATGAATCTGCACCTCGGTCAAAAGAAGTTTCTCCTGGGAATAGTAGTTATAAATCGGAAAATAGTATTGTTGAAGTAAGATTTATTCATATTTATATTTTAAATCTTAACAATTTTGAGTTATATTATATGCGCTGTCGTTTGATCGATCAGTATGAAGTTACAAAGGCATGAGCGGTCGACACACCCGCTGCCGTGACATACCGCAGTAGAGAGGGGACTAGCACAGTCTCGCCACTGCCGATCGCTGACCAATCACAGTGTGCTAAGCATAAAGACGCTACTGAGACTGAAAACATGCAATCCGTATGCCTGGATGCCCGGACGGATGGATGCCCGTTTTTCTCGGCTTGACCTCCCATACCCAACGCGCGTATAGAAGTTTGCCTTCAAAAATTTATATTTCACAAGCGCCAACAAATTTATTATAAAACAAAACTGTCGACGTTTTGCCGGTGTGATGACTGGCTTTGTTAAGACTTAACTGTCTTGAGAGTCTTGAGTTACTGTGTAGTTACTGTTGAATACTGAGTTACTGTCTTGACAAGGGCAGACATCACATCGGCATCATCTTGTGGGTGTGGTCCTCGCTTTCCGGCGCCGCACCGTGACCGGGTCTGTATCACCCTCCAAAAAGGTGGGTAGGGGGGGGGGGCGGGCTAAATACTCATCCGTGGTCCTCTTTTTATATTGGAATCCGAACCACTTCGGACACTGTACGAATATATAGAGAAACAGGTATGGAAGTAAACTGAAATAAGTTACGTAGACGAAGAAGGAGTTTATTATGATCAGCTCTCTATCGTGATACACAAGCGACTGACACTCGCTCAACTGGAGCACTCGCCGCACACCTGTCTATATAGGTGTAGTTATAACTACATAATTGCGTAAGTCTGGCTCTAACTGGTTTGTTTATTTGTATTTGGATAGTGAGCTATTAGAGCTGGTGTGTCGTACTTTTCTATAAGTGTTTATGACATAGAATAGTACAAATCCAAGTGCTTTCAAGGTGCTTGGAGTAGATTTAATGAGTATCGAGTTATTAAGTAATAATAAAGGGGGGTTATTACATATAACACAGGCAAATAAAAAAAAATCTTCAGTTCCAGAGACCGGACCTAGTAGACTTTATGTTGTTAGGGTCGCTAAATCCGAATCCAGTGTCGATATGTCAAAATCAGATCGATTTAGGTCATTTGAGGGTTATCTCAAGATCAAATCATGAAAAAAGGTTAAAAATCGAGAAAAAAAAATCCTATACAGGTTTTCGAGGATGTTCCATTTAAATCTAAAGTCAGATGACCTCTATGATCTCATTTTTAAGGTCATTTGAAGGGTGAATCTAGCAAACGCTATAAAATAACGGAAAAATATTATGTATAGGTTTTTGGAGTCGACAAATTCAGCTTTTTTATTGAGTGACCTAAAGAAAATCAAGATTGAGGTCATTTGAAGATTAAATTAATGAAAAAAAGACAAAAAGAATTTATGAAGTATTCGTATGTTTTGCATGCCTTTTTATTCTTTTTTTGTGTGACGCACCTTTTTTTCTTTAAACGATCGGCGTGAAGGTTACCGTTTGCGTTTAATTTCTCTATGTTGGCTTTCTCTCCAACATCCAGCAGTAATCAGCCATCATCGCCAATCCTACCCACCTTAATATCGCTGCTCCATATGTTTTATGTTTTGATGGATACATTCTGCTTGCTCGTCGCTAAAATCTTCATAGTTTTCTGGGAACTAATCTGTATGGTTATGCAGGGAATACTGTTAGGATGGTGTGATCACCGCCTGTCGATATAGCAGAACCGCTGCTCTACCATGCGACACCTACGAGAGAGACTCGAGCGCCCCGAGTCTGCCGGCCGCCGTCTCTGTACTCACTCTGTATCCTTGCACCGCCCTGCGCAAACGTTTAGATTCAGCTTTAACTTTGCTTTGCCAAGTGCTTTTTGTTTCTTTTACGTTAATAAGTTTGATTGCCCTTTTGTACGTTTCGATAGAAACTCTTATATATTATTCTTAATTAATATTACTTAAGGGGGCAAAGGCACCTAAAATCTAAAAAAAAAATTTTTTTTTCATTGACTTTTTTGATAGGATTTTTCCTCGGCTTTCCAGTACCGTGATCGAAATTTTAAAATTTTAACTGTACCGTGATGTACAGCTTATTTAGTACCGATACTTTTACGATGATTTAGAAAAAATGAATGAAACGACTCAATATATCGTGGTCATTCTCTCATGAATCTCGAAACTTTGATGAGTCCGTAGCGCCATCTATTGATACTCGTTTTATTCTTTGGTTAGAGTACATCTAGCAGAAATTTGTTTGTTTACATGGCTATAGGTGTACAGTAACGCCACCACTCGCAGCACGTGGGTTTCGGCATATCTTCTATCTCTCTCTGATTCGTGCACGAGCCCTGATCAAATGTCAACAACAGTCTGCTGACTGCTTCTTGATTTTCCAATGGCTAAAAATTACATTTTTTTTTAAAGTGAAAAAAGTATATGTAGAGTGCAATTATATCTTTGCAACTCAACATAGTGTTTCATAATAAAGCTATGAAGAAGTTTCAATAGCTTGTTATAAAAATGTGACATTTTTAGTAGTTCTAATTCAAGAAATACAGAAGTACATATGAAAATTGACATATATACATCAGTGTATATGTATGTCACTGTACTTTATGTATGTGTATATGACTATATCATATATATTATTGTATGTTGCATGTGATGAACAAGATAAGTGATAATTGATCAACTTGTAGTGATTTATTTCCAAGTATCTAGTGATAAATATTTTATGAATGTTAGTGAATACGTAGAAGACTGGGTTCAAGTTCTAATGTGAGATTGTGTATATTTGTGTGAAAAGTTGATTTGGACATAATCAACTTAGTTACCAGTTTCTCCATAAAACCCATATTAGCGTATACTAACATTTTAGTACAACTTATAAAATGTAGTAATGAAATTGGCGCATTTGGCTTTGTCTGGCTGTCTGGGATAATTGAACATTGTCCTTGTGGGTCCAATATGTTGAAAATTCAAATTGAATTACTGTTCTTTATGGTCCAAAAAGTTTTAAGCAGCCTCAGTGACATGAGAGTGTCATTATGACATACATTGATGCATTTTGGTTTTTTTCAACTCTTGGGCAGTTATGTTTTATCTCAAAATTGCTTTGTTGCCGTAACTTTTCATGTAAACCGTTTGAGCAAATGAGCTGAAATTTTCAGGGATTGTTCTACATGAGAATGGCTACAAACGCAAGCACTTTCAAAGGTATTGGGACAAATGAGCACTTTTTTCAGGCTATGATGTAGCATAATCTGTCATTTTATCATATATATTAATGAATAAATGTGTATATGTGGCTGGAAAATTGTGTATAACTAATTAAAAAATCTGAAAGTGCTTGCGTTTGTAACCATACATCTGATGATCAAAATGAGACCCCAAGAACCATGATTGCACCATCGGTTCTAACTGGATCCTACGGCATAGGGGTACCTGTCAGGACTGTGGGCTTGCTTCATCGAGGAGGGTTCTATGGTGACTAGGACCTCAATTTTCATATTCCAGAGTGAAAAAATTTGAAAAAAGAGTGAAGAAAACAGAGTTTTCTCTGTATATTCCACAAAAAATTTTTTTCTTCATAATTAATAAATTTTTCATAAATGTAGGTTTAAGGTACCTTTCCCCCCTTAATAAAGTTCAGTATGTTTGATAAGTGAACTGTGTAAGTTTTTAATCAACCTTTCTATTTCTACTGATTATCCTCGTCGAGCTAAAATACAATCAAAACAAATACAGTTTATAAGATATATTACGTTCCATTTCGCCGAAATGTTTTATCATTTTTGATATTAAAATTTTGCTATCATCGCTTCTGCGATTTACCTTGAACAAACCCATGCACCATGGTGCATCGAATATTCCTGCATCAGTTTTATGATAAAACTTAGATTTTGAACATTCGTAGCAGTCATCATGAAATTTTGGTGAAATAGAATGTTATATATACTATAAACTGTATCCTGCATAACTATACAGATCAGTTCCCAGAAAACAGTGGAGGTTTTAGCGACGAGTAAGGAGAATGGATCCATAAAGACTTAAAACAAATGTAGCAGCGATATCAAGATAGATGTCCTTGAAAGTAAGATCATAGAGGTTCTCTGACTTAAGATTTGAATTCCGAATCCTCGAAAACCTGAACAGGAGTTTTTTCCGATTTTTAAACTTTTTTCGTGATTTGATCTTCGAATGACCTTCAAATGATCTTTATATGGCCGAATTTAATGAAAATAACCTTCGATTCGGATTCAGCGACCCTCAAAATATAATTGTGATATTTTTCGGATTTTTACACTGAATTCTCTATGTTTGACCTTTAAATGACCTTGAAGGTAGAGTCATCTAATTTAAGATTTGAATTAAGCATCCTCAAAAACCAGTACAAGAGTTTTTCCCAATTTTTAACCTTTTTTCATGATTTGACCTGTAAATGACCTTAAATAGATCTAATTTTGAAAAACCAAAACCGGATTCGAATTCAGTGACATAAAAAACATAAAGTCCACTAGGTCCGATCTCTAGAACTGAAGACTTTTTTTGTGTGTCTGTGTAATTAATATTTAAATATTGCATGTAGGTTGTACTTTCTTCAGGGGCCTATGAGATCAAACGAAACCTACTGTACCATCAGTAAGTTTGGGCCAGATCTATGACTCGGAGCTGGGGTGGTCTATTTATGAGCTGAATTTCTAAATTCGATTTAGTAACATATTAGACTAAGTTGACTCGTCAGCGTCTGTTGCCATTTGATCATTTTGCTGCAATGTTCTCAGCCTGATTGCCATCTCGGCCGTTTTTCTCTCAAGTCTATCTACTTTTGGTAGTCGCTTACGCTTCTTTTCAAGTTTCTCCTTTTCTGATTCGGAACTCATTTTCTGTTACGATACGTCTGTGCGTCACGACGCACAAAGGAATAATGAAGTCAGCACGCCACTATAGGGGGCGGAGAGCGGAGCATCTAAAAATTTAACTCTAAACGTGGGCAATAACTAAGACCGAGGAGTAGTACTACAAAGTAATCTTAAGAATAAGGAACGTAGAATAATTACGTAGAAGTAAGTGTAGAGAAAAGCCAAATGCTATAGCCCTCTCTCACGTAATTTTTTACTCTGAATTGAGATCCACTTTGAATATTATAATAAGTTTAAATTTCAAAACTAAGCATTTATCACTCTTTTCTAATGTAAAAAAATTATTATAACAAATTTTGATTAAATTTAATTGCTCTTATTTTTTGCAGGTAGATAATTCCGGTTCCGTATTAATGAAAATTGCTACTTTATATGCAGATCGTTTACTTAATGATATATCATTGGTCGTTAATAATGTAGAGTACCCAGCTCATAGATTGATTCTATGTGCCTCTAGTGATGTTTTTGAAACTATGCTTCTTAACCCTCAGTGGAGCGAATCACAAGCAAGTAAAGTCAAATTACAAGAAACCCCACAGTGTTCTGAAATATTTGGAGAATTTTTGCGATATTTTTACACTGGACAAATTCGTATAAGTCATAATGTAGTCCTATCAGTCCTTCTGCTAGCTGATAAATACAACGTCAAAGATTTGATTGATCTGTGTTTAAATTTTATGAGACAGCATATTGCTTTATCCGCTGTAAACGGCATGTTGGTAAGTTGGCTACAGTATACTTCAAATTGTGGACATTATGAAGTGGCAAAAATTTGTAATAACTTTGTGAAATGGAATTTTGAGCTTATATCAAATACAGCAGATTTTGAATATTTTGAATTAGATTCATTGATCCCACTATTGCATCAAAGTAATATAGTTATTAAAGACGAGATGACTCTGTATAAATGTCTTGAAAAATGGATCAACTTACAAATACTCCGAGTGCAAGAATCTTCATCATCAACAATATATGACTCTACAATTAATCAAATTGTTGAAATGATCATTTTATCTGTTCGGTTTCCTATGATGTCACCTAGGCAATTAGCGGATCTTTTACTTTCCCCATTAACACAGAAGTATAAAGAGTTTTTCATTGACAGAATGTCAATTGCAATGTCATTTCACTCTGGGCAAGACAATCGAGTACAAGAACTTCTCAAAGTAGATGATAAAAATTTGGAATTATTTGAGCCACGACTTTATACGATTGATACGTGCAGTTCATTATTGACAGTTGAAAATTTTCATAACATGCTGTCCTATCAGACAAGAACTTTAGTTTTTTCTAGTTATTCATATCTTGCAGAATGTGTCGGAGAAAAACCTTGTGAATGGGTTGTAGATTTATATCCAAAAGGAGTATGGTTTAAAAAATTTTTTTTAATTATTTGGCAAGGAACAGTAGAAATGCCAGAACATGTTATTAGAACAGTTCGATTATCATTGACTTGTAAAGAACCACCAGAAGATAAAAATGTTGATTTACGGGTAAAAATTGGAATACTTATATATGGAACCCAAGATGGCGTTGAACACATTGCCTGCGTAAAAGAAGTAATTCATCGTTTCAATCAAAATGAAAGAGTTCTCAATTTAGATGATATTTTACCTTTTGGAGAATTAAATCCTTCTCAAGATTCGAAAGATAAAGATAAAACTTTTTCTAAATTTTTAGTTGGAATAAATAAGGATGTATTCAAATTACATATAGTAGTCACACCGCTTAATCCATATAAATGAATGAATATTTTATAAGTTGAATGTTGATATCTAAAACCATTAATCAAGTGTATCAAGGAAATGATACTTCCTGTAAACAATTTTTTTTTAGATTAACAGCATACATGTGTTAGTTCTATCATTCATGTTATTGTTTTTAAATTTTCCGAATAAATCACTATTTCTGATGAAAATAAAAGGTATAAGAAAAATATACCTTGTTAATTGTAAAAATTGAAAAAATAGAGAATGAATAATAGATTAAGCAAATAAAGAAGTTTTATATATTTGGACATCAAAAACCATTAAAATTTTCCTACTTTTCATTTTATTAAAACTTTAAAAATTTCGATTAAGATCATCTCATTAAAGTAAAGCTTATGCAATTCAATTTAAAAAATGAGAAGTAAAATGTCTGGAGTTTAAATAAGATTACTTGCGATAAATTTTTCGAAAAGTTTAATACCTTTTTGAAAATTTTTTTCCTAATTACAGCATTTATCCTCTCTCTCTCTCTCTCTCTCTCTTCACTTCTCAATTGTCTTCTTTAAAATTCTTCGGACCCTATTTTTTATTTTTTTCTCTACTCCACTTCTATACTAAATCAACCACTTCTCCTCTGTTGCCATAGCTTTGTTTACTGTTCATTTTTCAATAATTCAGACTTATACATGTAATTTTGACACCGGTTCATCCATATCCTTTTCACTATCACCTCATATCATTTCAATCCATAATAATCGTCCTTAACATCTAGCTTATTTGTAGTCCTACAAACTGAATGTAACGTTACACTGCTTGCCCTATATAGAAACAATAATCCGTACGTTTTGGCACTTTACAATAGTGCTGGAAGCTCGGAGTTTCAAGGGTTTAAAATAGCCAATTCAAAATTAGTTATAATTTGCTCTGGTCTGCAGCACTTAAGGGCAAAATCTCCAGCTGCTTTCTTTATACATTTCAGGACGTATCAGAAATAACAATTTCAGGCTGTCCAGCTATCTTTCGTTGTCGAATTGTTCTCAATTCAGTGAATAGCTGGGTAAAAAGATTTGAAGAGACTTATCACGCATATACCATGATTCAAGTAACCAAAGTAACCCAAATAAGATCAAATGTGCTATCGATTATCTACTGATTTTAAAATTCCCATCCAGAAAGTAAACGTTACCTTTAGCTAAAAATTATCAAATTTTTGGAATTGGAAAAACTATCACTTTGCCATCATTAAAGATTAATTATATCGAGTCGTGAGTCTTCAATAAGAAGCCGATCTCCAATGACTGTTAATTGAAATCGATCTGGGATATTCTCTGCAGGTCATACAAGGTTGAAGGGTTGATAAGAAGATCTTTTCCACTTGCTTGTCGCATGGATTCAAATTTTCTTGTTCTGCGGCAATTGGCTCAACTCTCTTTCAGATAGGCCAGTAAGTGGTGTGCGAAGAAATTGATTTTTTGTCAATTATGACAGTTCAGAAAATTATTATATACTTACCTGAAACTTTTTTCCATCTCTTTCATTCTATTTAATTTATATCTGATACTTACGGATTAAAAATGAAATATTCATAAATTTTAAATTAACATTTAGATAATAATTATAATAAAATACGAAAACTAAATCTCTTTCTTATAACATCGATTTTACAGTCTTTCGACAGAAAGTAAATTCAATTAAATTTTTAACAATTAGTCAGTATTTAGTGGAACAATATTCTACTGCAAAGTTAAAAAAACACTTTTATACCCATCGCATATCTTCTTCAGGAGAATTAGTAAATTCAAGGACGCCTAAATGATTTTTTCATATTTTTTAATTGTCTGAGCCTTTATGCTATGATATATTTAGTTTTCTTTTAAGTGTAATCGTTAAATTTTTACAGATATTTAAAAGATACAATGAAAACAACTTGGTCGTCATTTCCTTGAGGGAATTGATGCAACCCTATTCGAGATTCAGTATTTCCAATTGTAGGATTTATTTAAATCTCTTGCCTTGTTTGCAGTAAACATAAAAATTTGATGAAAATTGTTCCCAAAAAATTGTTCAAAATTGTCAGTACTTAGTAAACAGTATAGATTATATACTTATATACGCATATATCTATACATATATATATATGAAATTAGTATCGTGTGACTGTATGTGTATGTGTGAGTGTGTGTTGTATATAGATTTAAGCGTAAAATTTAGAACATTTAATCATATGAAAATATTGAAACTTAAAAAAAAAACTTTTATGTAAAGCAAATTGAGATACAATACTTGAGTCATTAAAACTTCTTGCAAAGGTGGGGGTTAATGTACAATCGAAATAAGTTGAAATATTTTACTTATCATAAAAAGTTGAGAATGAACCATAACTGTGTTAATGTTTTTTTAAGAATATAAATAACAAACTCAAAGATCATTCTTGTCCATTTAAAGTTTTAATATGCTGATTCACGCAACAGAATTATAAAATAAAATTTCGTTCAAAGTTACTATAACAGTCTTTGTACTGTAATTAGCAAAAGTTCTTTTCACGTCAATAAACTAAGGTTCATACAAAGTAAGTCTATTAAATAATTGTAATTTTTAAATCATAGAAGAAAGACTATAGTATCTTGTAACTTAGAAGTAATTGTTTCAACTTGAGTGAGATACATCAATTCCACCGGGTATAAAAACAGATTAAATTCTTTTTGATAATTTATAAATTTGAAGTAACCTGTCAAAAATAATCAAAAACATTTTAGTCAGTTTCATAATATATGGTACTTTTCGGGCGATCTACGTCCAATTTTTATTTTATGTTGGAATAAGATATTTATTATTTATATTTTTCCATAAAAGGACCAAGATTGGAAAAGATGCAGTTAGCATAAACATGTTTGGAAGTATCAAGCAAGTGCTTCGCTAGCAAAAGATCTATTTTTTAACGCGTTTAGTCAAATACAAATTTCAACTTTATCTAAAATTACGGATTTTTTTGTAATTGAAAAACTGATAACATTTTTTTTCAAGAACAACAATAATCACATTGAACAAAGTTTTTAATCATAAATATGATTTAAATGACCATACCTAGAATGATCCTCATTTACAATTATTCAAAATGATTGAACTGAGCATGCGTAAAATCCAATTTTCGCGGTTATATAATGATCTTGTAAATATTTCCTGTAGGATCCGGCAGGAGAGTGCAGAATTATTATGGGGATTTTGTGACTTTATCACAAATGTGTAGTGATTATGTCGAAAAAGTGTCACCCATCAAAAACCAACACCTATATATAGCCCAGTAGCGTTTTGTGCAACTTACCGCGTTTCCTCACCCTGTATGTAATTCGGAAAAATTATCCACAACATAAATTTCGTGTTCCACAGTATCGATTAGTGCGATTTTAAATATTTTTCAACAGAAATGTGTGTTTGTATGAAAGAAGTATCATTAATATTTATGTACAAGCTCAGCTTGTCAAGATGTAAACTTTACAGATCCGCATTCAATGTTAATAGTAGGCGGTCATTGTTGACAATGATAAATTCTAATTATAGGAAAAATCGTCTTTTGACAGTGAAATAACTCATAGTTGAACATTGAATGAGGTATAAAATCAACTTCCTTTTTTCATTTTAAAACATAAAATCATGAAAATATTCTTTTTTTAGTAAAAATAAATTATTGATATTACTTAAGGAGTTATACACACCAATTTTTCCCCATATGCTAATTTTATAATATAAAATGCAGTTTTGAGACAATCTATCTTTATTAGATATCAGTAAGATTAAAGTTATTAAAAAGTTTGTACATCAAAAAAGGTGAACAGAAACAAAAAATGAGAAAATTGATTGATGCTTTTGAGCAGATAAAAGTCTGAATCAAAATTTTCATCTTTTCGAGATTCGGTTAGTACCAAAGTTTTCTACCATAAAAACACTGGTCTGAACCTTGCGCACAGTGTTAGAATGCTAAAATAGCACAAGGGTCATTCTCCTACTTTTTTAAAAAAACGTGCGTGGTGGTATTTAAAAAATATGGAAAAAATATATGTTATTAACAAACACGAAAAGAGACTTTCCTTAAAATTTATTTCGGAAAAAATTTTTTAAAGGTGCCTAGCGACAAGTAATTGTTGAAAAACGTGTATTTTTTCGTTGTTTTTTGGTGATTTTTGAAAAATTCTAACAAGAAGAGTTTTGACTAGGGATGACCGATATTTTTTCGATACTTGAATATCACCACGATACTTTATTTTGAAAATCGATACTTTATTCGATACTTTTAAATAGCGATACTACAGATTTCGATACTTTTCAAGTGTAGTATCGGTATACTTATCCATGCGTTGATAGCGCTGCGCAAGGCACTCCCAGTTCTTACTTACAGGTTGAAAGCTTGCTCTTTGTTTACTCAGTATTCTTACAAAACTTCAGTGCCTCGCAGTGTTGTTCGAGAAACTTCGCTTTGTGTGAGAGTGATGAAGATGAGTGTATGATTAAGTGTCATGCATATTGTATCATAGAATCGTGATGATGAAATCACAAATGCTCTTCTTTTATTTATAAGCAATGTTGGGCATCCTTTCAGCTTAGTAGATGCCCAAGAATTTAAATAGTAGCTCCTTTATTTACAAATATACCATCACGTAAAACTCCAGTTCGTTTACTACAAAATAAATATGAATAACCTTGAAAAAAAAATTAAGGGAAGTCATACACCAATTCAATCCTCTTTGTCATTTTTTTATATATAAACCACAGTTTAATGTCAATCTACATTTTCAACATAGAATTGACATCTTTGAGCCCTAAAAAAATGTGAAAAAATTTGCAGAATAGGCCTTTGCATCTAAAAATAGCTCATTTTTGCTATTTTAGCCTTTTGGCACTGTGGGGTTCAGATCAGAGTTTTTGAGGTGGGAGATCCTGCTAGGTCTCAAAATCTTCAGAGTATCCTTTATGGGCTAAGTTTTGTGGAATTTTGATTAGAGTTATAAAAAAGTTTGTATGCCAACAGATGTGAAAAAAGCAAGATATAAAAAAAAGTTATCAATGTTGTTGAGCACATATTGAATAATAGAACTGATATGAAGATTTAAATCAAAATTCCACAAAACTCAGCCCATAAAGGATACTTTTCTGAAGATTTTGAGAACTAGCAGGATCTCCCACCTCAAAAACTCTGATCTGAACCTTGCGCACAGTGCCAAAAGGCTAAAATAGCAAAAATGAGCTATTTTTAGATGCAAAGGCCTATTCTGCAATTTTTTTCACATTTTTTAGGGCTCAAAGATGTCAATTTTATGTTGAAAATGTAGATTGACATTAAACTGTGGTTTATATCAAAAAAATGACAGAGAGGAGTGAATTGGTGTATGACTCCCCTTAAGGGGTATTCGAACATAAAATTTTCCGCTCTTTTTAAATCTGCAATAAAAAATGAGGGTCACCGTACAAAAAATCAATTTTAGTGTGCTGTAGCTTAGTGGTTATTTTTAAGGATTTCAAGTTTTTTTGAGAATGTGCGGTGCCATAATGTGCGACTTGTGCCACAGAAAAGCGTGCCATAGATGTGAACTTATGCCATGCAGTGCTATAAAAACATTTACTGCATATCGTCTTTGGTTCGCGTATAATTATTACAATCACTTTACTCAATCTCCCACCAATTGGAAATATTTTCAGTGGTTACTGTGTCCAGCTCTTTCATGAGTGTCACCATGTTTCAGTCATTGATATTCAGTGTCTAATTTACTCTTGACCTGGGGAGCTCAATCCTGGCTAGTTTTGATTAACTCGAGGCTCATATTTACGCACGAGACAGTCACCTGATTTTGCATATCCACGATCGTTTTAATTAGATTATCCCCAGATTTGAGCGCATCGAAGTCGTGCAGACTGAGTTGGGTCAGTCGATTCTAGATAAACAATGATCACGCGAGCCAACTTGCATATCTCGCTGAGCGCGTCAATGCTCTCGCCAGTGCGTCTCATCGGTCTGCTTAGCACCCCCTTCATTGACGACTACTCTCCTGACTTAACAAGATAAATATAAGGTTCGTTTCGGTGGACTTCCATTCGGTTTAAATAACAATCCAGAATGCGGAGCGTCTTCATAAGGCCTTGGAGTTAGGCAGATTGGGCTAGCAAGTATTGAAGTGCTTAAATAGCGCCCTCCTCGTCCAAATGCCGCTGCAGCTGCTGCGAGTGCTAATGCCATTATCACGATGGTTGTGTGGTTTTCGTGGGCTGCCTGGCATGACGAAGCTGACTGGGCATATAGGCCTGTGTTTTGTGTATGCTTGTTGCACCTCTTTAGCGTTCAGAAGGTAGCATCGCTTAACATCTGTATCATCCTACTATCACCCTTGTATACTGTGTTCTATCGATAATATGACATGCCTTATAATTTTTTTTTTTTTTGCAAAAAAATCACCCATGCCTTATTTTTGGAACATGACCTATATTTATGAATAAACTTTTTTATTAATATTACAAACATAGAAATACATTTATTCGCATACAATTAAAACGTCATCCTCTTGGTTTTCTTCAAATATGATTGATCGATCGATTTTAATTTTTCTAGAATTAAGGTTCCCAATCGTTCTTGCGTTGCTATCACTTATCACGTGCGACCACGTCTTCGACACACGACTGCTTTTCGCCTATTCAAACTCACGTCACACCATGTTCACCCGGTGCGCTCGTCGGCTTTTCCGCACGAGCGGAGCGCCAGGCTAACGCGAAGTCTCCGCCGACGAGCAACACAAACGCTTTCTCTACTTCTTCGCAACTACCTGGCCGGCTAGCACAGGTACTCTGAGACTCGCTCAAGGCAATGCAGGTTCGTTGCAGCGTTAGGTCTGCTCGCACGCACCGGTGTTCGTCTCTCTCCGCGTTTCTACCTACTCCGTGTCTAAGCCCTACTAATTTTACACGTGTCGGCGAGGCCACGATGCCGATTGTGCCGAAGCATGGGTCGCCCGAGGGCCTTGAGGCCGCGTCGCACCGAACCCGGACGACGAAGTTACTCACCACGTCTCAGTTCACACTCACACACTCACACACCCTAACACTTGCTAGTGTAAGGTCTTGCAGACTCGCACACCCGACGAGGCTACTCGCTGGCACACCTATCCACCACGCGAGCATACACGTATCACACGGTGCTGATCCACACTCATACGCAATCACACTCAGCAAATACTACTACTCACCAAAACTCGGGTAAAACGCTTCGATCGTAAAAGAGGGTATTCTCTGTTTTACGTTTCCAATGGGGCTGAAGTCCGATCGATTTCACGATCGGTCAACTACTGACTCGACTCGCATCGCGGCTCCTTGCGAGACTGCTCGCGCTTCCACCTCTCTGCGGCCCACACGCGAGCCGCTCGTTCAGCCCGCAGACCGCCGGGCTCAAGCGAGAGTTTTGCTCCGATTGTGAGCTCTACTCTGCATTGACTCGGCGCGTCAAAGCGGCCACTATATGACTACCACGTCCTACACTGTATCAGTGAAAGAATACTTTTTATTTAAATACCCAGCTTTTAATGCTATTGCAACTATCTCTGCTGTAATTTTATTCCAAGAACATTTTACCAAGCGGCAAACTTCTTTCAGATCGGGCTTAACCAAATTTCCACGTTCATTTTTTATCATGCCATTTTCTATTTAACTATATAAATTTTTTTTTATTTCTTCTTTGATCTTTGATACTTTCGAGCTAGACTTTGATATTTGCGGTGCTATGTTTTAACTAACCGGTATTGCAATTGCTTTTCCTAGCAGAATGATGCCAGATTTTTTCAATGTGATTCTTCAGTAACTTTTTTTTTTAATTCAACGTTACATGATTTTCTCTTGCGCAATTCTATGACTATGTCGGTATAATAAACACTGAATCTTGTTTACATTTTAATCAGAAAGTATATTGACAAGTATGTTCTCGTGGAACTCGAAAATTCGACTACGGCTTATTTTTGGGGTACGTTTATATTATCGGTTGAACGCGGTAGTTTGTCGCATGCAGCCCAGCGTCGCATGCGTGAACTTGCCTATTTGGCCCCAGTGTGGTAGAGTAGCACGATACATCTGCAGCGACCTTCGTGTCTCCATACTTTTTGTATCCACTCCAATCTTTTCCAGTTAGCCAAAATTGCCTTCTGTTTATGATCACCAAAGTTAAACTCTCGATATACTTCAGCATTTTTTGATAAATTCTCGCAATTTCTACCACATTTTGATTGTGTTATCATTATTGCTGATCTCAACGTAAACATGTTCTACCGAAAAAATAACCGCGCTATCTTTCTAGATCGTCTTTTATTTGTATACCATCTTCACATTGTGAATGCCACTGAACCCTACCTATCATGTCATCATCGTTAGCACGAGTCGTGTATAAACCTAAGCATCAGACGTGATGTAGACTTAGTTCTTACGCACACGCGCAGTGTCTTATTACTAGTGACATTTGTGGATAGGCATGATCTCATTATTATTTAATATAACCTCTCACGTAAATTACCTCCATCATCACCATTTTATCAGATCCTAGCGCAACAGCTATTAATGATGCTCTGTCACCCTTGCTTAGACTGATAGCCTCAACTCTGCCCTCGAGATCTACCTTAAGCTTCAATTCAAATTTTCATACGATTAGCAAAGCGCATGTAGCCGACAGTGTGGCCCTACCGATACCGGCAATTTTAACGTCCTTTCACAAGCCCTGGTTAGACCCCGAAATGCAGCCGTTCGTGTATGCCCGAGATCGCGCATATCGCCGGTTTTGACGTTGTTATCGAAACACGTACCTTTTGCAGTACAGAACCTTAGGAGTGGAAGTGCGCTCCAGCTCAATACGGAGAAAAATGATCAATACACCTCCCAAATGGACAGCATATCTCCAACTGCGCTCCACTACCTTTATTGCCTGAAACCTTTGTCATTGTCTGTTCAACTCCTCTCTCAAATTTACGCCCAACTTTCACTCTTCAGTCTATCACTACTTCTTTTATCACCAAACTCATTATTGGTATAACATCTAAATCCATGGGTATGAACGAAATTACTTCGTGCATGCTCTTACTCACTTCATCTTCACTATCCACTTCTGTGATCATACATTTTCACATTTTCACATGCATGAATGCTTGCTTTCATTATCTCACTATAGGAAACCTTGTTACACTTCAAATAATTCTCGTACTATAGTCCTCTTATACGAAATGTTAAAATAACTTTAACGTATCGTACACTCAACTCATCTCTTATCTCGCTACCAATAATCTTCTCTCACCCTATCAACAGGGTTTTCGATCAAACCATTCCACTACCACCACAACCATTTAAGACATAACTGAATGCGTCTGCCATCAACTAGTGAGTGGTGTCAGTCCTGGTATCATTTGATTTTTCAAAGGCATTGGACATCATTTCGCATTGTTGACTGTTTTTTCGACGGTGCGAGATTGATTGTGACAGTATGGCGATTCGATCGTTTACAGATTCTTTCACAGCCTAGAAGTGTGCAATGTGACTACTTGCAAGAGCAATCATGATTTAAAATACTCCATTCTACGTTGTGACGCGCTTCATACTCCTAGAACACCTGAGGCCAATTCGTAGAGCTATACGACGTCTCCCTCCACGACTCGATTATCCACATTCTCATTCATCAACACTTCATCATTCATTCACTCACGGAACCACTAAAATTATCAACTCCCTGCCTAACCCCTGTAACAGGATGTCTATATTATAACCAATTAAATCAGGCAGAGAAATACAGAATTTTGGGTTTGGGATGAGAGAAAAAGATCTTCAAAAAGTGGAACAGATAATAGTCCCTTAACGCTTTTTGAATCTTCTAAAATCTTATTCGTGTAGTTTCGAGGTCTCGTCGATCTTATGACAAAGTTTCTGACCAGCCACCTTCTGCAGTCTTCTGTACATCAAGAGAGGCAGCGGAGGGTATATAAACTATATTTAGCAACAGTAGCGGATTATTCGGTTCACGACCTCTAAAGTGAAAGGAGCTCCTGTGTGCTTATTCTTCTATAAAGTTATCCGCAGCAAATCTGTTCTGTTGATTCATGACTGAGAATTCGAACAATCCTTATATACGAATTTTTACACGTATTCAAGAGAGTCAACGGTTTAGAAATTTGATTCTGGGAATTTCTAAAATTTGTTTCTTGTCAAGCCCAATTCTCAGCCATTAATGTTTTTTGAGTTGAGTATGCATTCGTGGGTGCTGACGACCCAGAAGAAGGTTGGCTTACAGAATCAGGCCAAAAAATCATGGACCTCATGGTTCGTGGCCAAGAGTTGATGATTGAATCGATAATAATTTTGATAGGCGATTATCGAGTCAATGGTTCAGTCAATGGGTTGATAATCGGATAAATAGTCGGGTCGATCGATCGATAGTCAGACCAAAAATCTAGTTGACAGATGAGACTATGAGATAGATATCACTGAAACGAGATGTTTATCTGTGCTGGATATTTGCCTGTGTGGCATTATATTCCTTTTTTTGTTTGGATTTCCATTGATCGGTATGTGAATTAAGTGGAGCTACTTATTCTCTGTCCATGAAGTGTCGTATGCCTATTTCAAAATTTGTGGTTGTAGTAGAAAAAGGGCCTGAGATTTAACCTGGCGAGCTATTGAAGAGGAACTGACAGCTTCAAAATCAAACCATTAAATTAATAACTTTTTCTTATCCTTAAAAATTCAATAGTAATATATGGTCATAAATCCCCTTGAACCATATAAATAGAAGTGAAGAATTAAAATAATGTTTTATGATAATCCTTTTCCAATACTATACTTATCATTTAAACCTATTGATCATTAAACTGATTATTTTGATTCATTTCAGATTTGAGACTGAATTGGAACTAAATTAAGACTTTCCAAAATGTTGTTCCTAAATAAAACGATGAAAACGCTGTCAAAAAATCATGTATTTAAGAAATCTCTGAAAATTTATAATAAAAACTTCCGAACTTATGCTGAATATAAGCCTATTCGCAGTATTCTTGTGGCTAATAGAGGTAAGTTCTTCATTTATTTCAAAACTCTTGACTAGACAAATCGGGGTGGTAAATATCCTTTGCCCGTTTTTCCGACGATTTATATTATTCATAGAAAAACCGTCAATTGACTGACAATATATAACGAAGAAATCTTCCACCAAGTGAATCGCCAGCGCCGACTCGTTTTATCGACTTGAAATCACGTACCTGAAATTGTTACCATAAAGATTTTAAATTACTTTTTGTACATTATGTCATAGTGGACGAGCTTCGAATGCCATAATCGCTTGCCTAGCCGTTTCAGCATCGTTCTTGGGAACATATCCTGATACGTAGCTTTGACACGTACATACCAGTGTTCTCTTTTTCCCTTTCTGCAATCAACCTCATGTTCGGGTATCGAATTCGGTGGGTGTCCTTTCAATTTTCGACATTAGTGAGAACGCCTAAAAGAAAAATACTGCAATATTCACACAAATTGCGTTGTGATCATACAAAGTCCGCTAAGTTAAAGTTAAATTATAATGCCAGCGTGGAAGTGACGATTATACGACTATAATAATTGAAATTGTAACAATTGAGAATTAGAATACTAGTTATGTAAACTGTGCACCGAAAAAAAATCAATTTTTCGCATCATGAAAAAGTTTCTTCTTAGATCGAGAGATGTATATCTTTTTGAGACAAGATAAAATTCTTCCTGACACAGTAGAAAAAAGTCTCGTGCACGAATTACACAGTGACAAAAAACAAACACTGAACTGAACAATTAACGAACTGAGTTGATTTTCAAGTCTAACTCACGAGCACTGAACAATATAAACATCAGCCACTGCAACTGAGCAGACGGCGGGTATACAGCAGCAATAAGCGTCATACGTAGAGGTTTGCACGAAATGTGTGGAGGGTTGACACACGCACACGTTCACGCGCGCGCATACACACACGCACACACACATACACACAACCGGCCTCCTTGGCTCAGTGGGTATAGTTCTTGCCTGCTGATACAAGGATGTGCCAGAGAGTGTGGGTTCGATTCCCACTGGACGAATATTCGAGGGTATTTTTTTTCGCCTAGTGTAATCGAGCCCGGGCCCGAAGTGAAGCGGGTACCACTCAAAAATAAGACTTGGGCTAAGTCATCAGCCTTCGGAGTCGGTGAAAAAACCCCGATGATTGTGCGAGCCAGAAGCGAAGAGGATAATCATAAGTAGAAGTCCGAGGCGAGGACTCACAAGGCTGGCAATAGATGGGGAGCACAACACTCCCATGATGAAGTCAGAACCTTGAACTTTCAGCTCAGCCATGAGCCCAGGCAAAACAAAACATTGCAAAAACGATTCGGTCTACTGTACATCGATCTCGGTCTCACGTTAACCACTACGTAGGATACGCATTGCTGCCGCCTGTTCGGTTGCGGTGACTGATACTTATATTGTTCAGTGCTCGTGTGTTTGACTTGACAATCAGGTCAATTCAGTTCAGTTCAGTGTTTGTGTTTTTGTCACTGTGTGATTCGTGCACGGGGCTTTGAAGTACGAACACGAACTTGTGAAGGCCCAGCGGCGAGTCATTGTCGTAAAGATACACGATCACTTTTCTATTGTGTCAGAAAGAATTTCAGCTTAGCTCAAGAAGATATATATTTTTTGACTCAAACCGAGCTTTTGTCACGGAGCGGTATATTAATTTTTTTCAGTGTAAGTTAACCCTGGACTTAATGGGTTAATTATTGAGGTTAATAAATGGGTTAATTATTCAAAGAATAAGATAAGTAACATAAATATAATTTTATAATGAATGAATTGGCTCAGGGCACCGCCTTACATAGGCCTCTGATCGCTCACTCGCGCTCTTTCCATACTTCATCTTCGTTGTTCAGGGTGGGGTGCGAGGAAGCCTTTCACTTTCCGCAAGTTCGCGTGTTTCCGTGTGAGGGTTCAAGACTTGAAGGGAAGGACGCCGCGATGCATAAATCTTACCTCTTCTCTTTCTCCCTCTTCTCTCCGCTCGTTTTGTGTGTGATCTTAAAAAATAACGGTTCGATTGAAGAGCAACTTACTCGTTGGTGACGGGCTCGGCCTCGCAATACACGGTTGCCGATTCGGCCCTTTTTCGTATTATTTTGCGGATGCATCGATACTTATATAATTTTATCGCGCGACATGGGAAGGACAAAGAGATCGAAGTCACTGAGCGTGACAGGTGCGGCGCGGTAACAAGTCATCTTGTTCCAAGGTCAGAAAAACAAAAATAGGTATTTGTAACAATTTTGGATCAATTCATTTCGAAATTATTAAATAGAGTTTTTTCATCTCTCAATAAAGGGAAATATAGGTATACACAATACAACATTTCAGAAAGAAAAGTTTTGTGAATTATTATGAAGTTTTCAAGTTTTTAAAATGATGAATGTAATGGGGAAAAAATATCGTCACTTCAAATTATTAATTTTAATGTTTTAGGAGAAATCGCCATACGAGTTTTCCGAGCATGTACAGAATTGGGAATAAGATCAGTTGCCATTTACTCAGAGCAAGACAAAATGCAAATGCATCGTCAAAAAGCAGACGAAAGTTACATGGTCGGACGAGGATTACCACCTGTACAAGCTTATCTTAGTATACCAGAAATTATCAAAATTGCCAAAGAAAATGATATAGATGCTATTCATCCTGGATATGGATTTTTATCAGAAAGAGCTGATTTCGCACAAGCTGTTATTGATTCAGGTATTCGATTTATTGGTCCAGACCCTGATGTCGTTCATCGAATGGGTGACAAGGTGAGTTTATGAATTATTTCTAAGTAACATGTAAGATTAACAACATATTCCTTTTATGATCTAGTATATTGAATTGAATGATCAATTATGACAAACATATTATCTATCCACTTTTTTGAATCTTATATTCAAACATATATTTGGGTATTTGCTATGTCTGAAATTGGATCAAACTCTTCAAGGTGCTTGTTGTACAATGGTGTATGGATGGGATCACTTGTAATGAGTCTGCGAGGTTTTGCAGAGGTTCTCCAACATCGTAGAGGTTTTGTCAGTCTTAGCTATAAGTAGCCTGACAGTCACGAGACGGACGAGTGACCATGAGAATGGTCGAAGTTGTCTCAGCCCTTTAGTTTACAAATTTTTGTAGCTCTAACCTTAGTCTTGAAAAGGACTAGTGTAAATGCAGGCTGTTAACTGACGTAGCATGACCGACTTGTGACCGTCCGCCACTGATGAGAAGTTTTGAGCAAGGTCAGCCGTCTCCTGGAGATGAAGGTCCGAATGGCCGATGGTGTCGTTGTTGCTATGATATCATAGTGGGTGTCTGCAACACCTTATCAACGGAGTAGAGTAGTAGAGAGATAAACTTTCAGTCAGAGAAGAAGAAAATATTTATTTTTGCTTCGTCTACTTTAAAATATAGAATTTCGTCGCTAACTTTACGCTTTTACGGACAAAGTGGGATTTATAATTGTATTTTGTGATTGTTTTAACTTTGGCTTGTTTTGGATAGAGCTAATTTAATAGAGTCGCGATGAGGCAGGATTATTTTGATGAGTAAAGACTATAAGTTCACTTGAACTGATGAACACTTTCTCAAGTTCTCATGTATTATTAAGTAAAAAAATATCTTTCTCGCTCTCGCGCAAGTGGGGCCTGGGAGAACTCAGGGATGTTAGGGACCAGCACCGATTGCGCTTTGAAGAAAGACCCTCCAATAGCTGATGCTATAATCTTTCATTTCACTGAAAAACGTTTATAGTACAGGGTAAAAAATATACTATGCTCTGAATATTTAGATGAAATAAGTTAAAATTATCCCGATAAAAAAGAATGAAATTTATTAAATAAGAATGATTATTGAAAATTTTTAATCAAATTTTAATATTTTTGAAGGTTGCTGCAAGAGAAGCTGCAATTGCTTCAAACGTCCAAATTGTTCCTGGCACTGATGGGCCCGTAACGACGTCTGATGAAGCAATGGAGTTTTGTTCAAAGCACGGTTTACCTGTTATATTCAAAGCTGCTTATGGTGGAGGAGGCAGAGGTAATTTTTCTATATTCTTGGTTTATATAAACGGTGTAACGTGCTATTACCAAGCCTTTTTATTCGCCCTGCAGTGAATTGCTGTTGAAATGATTTCTATTTGGAACCTGCCCAGCCATATCATATCTCACGAGGAGGTTCGGACCTCTCCCGCTGTTGGTGAGCTCGTCCCTCTGTGTTGGGCCTTAGGTACCTGAACATTAGGCTTTACAGAGCTTAGCTCACAAAACAAGCAATTCTTAATGAAGGAAAATACTTTATTACTACTCGCCAATTCATAAATTACTCCCCACGAGGGCTACATGTGTCGCGTTGCGTTTTTGAGCAATCCACCCTAGACTCTGGGCCTTATCTTGTCCACGCTTTTTGCGCCAATTACATTTCCCCATACATACCCGGCTGATTCGTTCACACTCAAATTATACTTTTGCCTTCTAGGCACACACTTGCACGCTTCGACCAAATACCTTTTATACTAATCTTCACTCTTTGGCGCTCTGTTGATGATCTTCGCTGATGGACGCCATTGCTCGGTCCCAACTTTCGAGGAAATCACAAGCCCAGTCCAGGCTTCTCTTTGGCAAAACTGCCAGCCCTACTTTCAGTCTCCTGGTCCTCTCTCGGGCAAATTCACAAGTCCCTACCAGACTTGACATGTTTTACTAACGAACTTTGATTACGTGGGTGATCACCAGGCCAAATCACACCTTCACGTTCAAGGGCGCACACATGCCCAAAAGAGGTCAAGCCTCAGGGCTTTTTCCACATCTAACTTGGTCACTTTTCGTATCATACGACACGCAGTGGACTCCGTCCGGCCGCATAGCTTTCCAAGCAAGATAAGTATTCTCTCTCGAGTGCTCGTAGCCAAAACACGGCTCAGATCAATCAGCCAGCTTGGGCTTACTCATGTTGCTGCCTTTGCCGAATTTTCACGGCACATCGGGCCTAAGTAACTGCGTCTTCTACGCTATTTGCTTATAAAGCGTAAAAATCATACACACACGCACTCACCCATTCCCATATTGAAGTTGGGGCGACGCGACTTCACTCGACCGAGCTGTGCTCTGTAACTCCGTTGCAAAGTATTATCATTTGGACAACCAATTACAGAAACGTTAAGTCGAGGTAAAAGCGTTCAAAGTTTTTTTTTCACTGAATGCCGTGTACTTGCTTGCTCTCAATCCTAAGTTCAGCTGATTTAAAATTTTAATTTCCGTATCAAATAGTATGAGGTGATTCTTAAAACTGTAAGTTATTCGATACTTTAGTGAAAGAAATCGATTTTTAAAATGTTGTAAATCAGAATTTTCCCTTAAACTCAATCTTTCAATTACTAGTGAAGTGACTCGCCATGTATGAATTTATTTTATAGATTCACTTTTAAAAAATTCACGTATTAATATATATTTTTTTAGGAATGCGTGTGGTTAGAAAAATGCAGGAAGTTCGTGAAATGTTTGATCGAGCATCATCAGAGGCTAAATTTGCATTTGGAAATGGAGCAATGTTCATAGAAAAATTTATAGAACGTCCACGACATATTGAGGTGCAACTTTTAGGAGATAAAGTCGGAAACGTCATTCACTTATACGAGCGTGATTGTTCTGTTCAACGACGTCATCAAAAGGTAAACAGTTTTGGATTTAGACATTTTTTTGACAAATCTGATATTGATCTTAAATGTGAAATTTCAATTATAAGTGAAATTTTAAGTGAAATTTAATGGAATGCTCAGCTTGGCCCATGAAATTGTTCAGATCATTACGTTTCAATTACCCTTATAAAAATTTCGCGGGATCCTATAGGGAAATTTTTATAAGGGTATTTATATTCATTACATGAAAAATCATAAATTTTGTATGAAACCATGAACGAGGTAAATATATAATATATATTTTTTTGGAAATATATATTTTTGATTCGTTCGTTTAGAACCCGGTGTTAATTTTTAACATTATCGCAGGTCTTTTAAAATTCAAAAAAAAATTATTGCTTTTGATTGAAAGACTTTTTTACTCGCTTATTATCGACTCAACAAAGAAAGTTTATAGAACTGAAATTTGCCATTTTGGAATTACAGGGTCTATAGATGAAAATGTCAAAAACGTTGTTTTTAAAGATTTAAAACAAAATTGCTTAGGAAAAGATAGGAAATCACCTTTGAAATAAAATTAGGAGTAAAAAAATCACGTGATTTTTAATTGCGAAGTAAACAGGGAAAATATTTATTATTTTCAAAATAAGCACTAGTTTCTGAGAAATCACATCCGAAAATTCCGGAGTATGAATCAAAAAAAGATTAGTTTCATCTTTAGTTTTTATACCATCCAAAATTTATTCGCAAAATTCCAATTATGTGTATTCCAAGGAAAATAACACAAAATTAAAAAAAAATTGGTAAAAATCTGGCTCAGGCTCATAAGCTAAACTTTTGCCAGGCTTGTTTTTGACACACTTTTGCCACATTTTTTCTCTAAGTGGAATGGATTAGTATCATCATAATTAGGGGCTAACAGGGGGCTTGATTATTTTTAATTTTTCAATTACAGTATAAGGGGCTGTAAATGTAAAAAAATTTTTTTTGAAGAACACACATGATAACCCTTTTCAATTCTATTCTATTTTGTCCATTAAAATACTTAGAAACAGTTAAGTACAGTGATAGGGAGTGTAATGAGTCATACATTACTAATGAACCTCTACGTAAGCTTTAGACACATCTAAGCTACTTGTCGTAATATTCCCAGAGAAAGCATCAATCTATTGTGGCCTATGGGGCTTCTTTTTTTTTCTCTCTCTATTACTTCCTGAGAAGGCCTGCAGGAGGCTTGTGGTAGGCCGTGCGCAGGTGAGATTTCACTGTACCCCTCCCTACTGCCTCGCATCCGCCCAAGCCAAAAAAGATTGGTACTATGTATAGAAGTCCGTTGCCGTGTATTAAATTGAGGACAATTTTTGATTACCGACTTTTTTCGATTACTCGATTACTCGATAAATAAAAATTTTGACGGACTCCAGGATCAAACCTTTTTTTTTCAAAAAGTTTATTTATATTGATTAAATACAGCAGTTTATGTCCACTGTAAAGTGGGCTCAATTAAAACTTAAAACAAAGGCCCTACGTATCATACAAAGCATAAGTACATGCATGGCACAGTAGTGTGCATCTCGTAGGTAGGCAGTAACATGGTTAGAATAAAAACAGTAATAAAAATAAAAAGAGCATCAAACATAATGCGTTACAATACAGTAGTATAGATTATTAAATTGTAACAAAAATAGAGAGTTGGCGATCTATTGATGTAGATCGCAGCGCCAAAGTCTCAAAAAAAACCTACAAAAGGTATACATGTTATAAGAGACACCGATTGTATGATTATCCGTGAAAAATATTTTCAACAAAGTTCTGAGACAAGAAAAACACTTTACAAAGCAATACAAGAATAACAGGGTTTAAGGAAATATACATGCAAAAAAAATCGTACATTAATTGAGATAAACAGAAAATATATTGCGGTAGACAATGTTATCTGACATCTGGTCTACCACGTATTTCTATGAACATATCCATGATATTGTGCATCCACCAATATTTTGGTTTATTGATATAATTATTTTTCTTATCAACATCCATAATAGAGGTGGAATACTTATTAATCATTCTAGGGAGAGGCGGGTCAAGGTTATTTGTTTTATTGGCCTGGTGGCGTGAAGTATGATAGATAATTGGTACATTATAATCGTCTTGAATGATATTCCTCCCACTGTCATAAAACATGAAGCTATGAGGAGAAATATAACCTGAGCGAGCTATTTCCGTCCAGAATGTTAAAACGGTGAGGCGTTTCAAATGAAAAGAGACAACTTTTACACTTAACAAAGTTTTTATTGGTAGCGCACAAATAAATTAGAAAATAAAATATAATAATGTATGAAGAGATTAACATAAGGACTTAAAGAATTAGGCCGATTGTTCTCGACGAGAGTCGAAGGCGGAGTAAGGCAAGATCATGCGGCAAGTGATTTATAACACAATATTTCATCTTATAAAAAAAGTGATGTAACTGGTATTTCAGAGCTTATATAGAAGTTTTTTTTGTCAATCTGGTGTAGAATGAACATATTTTACTATCACAAAAAAATTGCCACTATTTCGATTTATATAGCTATTTTTAGCTGAAGCTGAATTTAAGCTTTTAACACAGGTCGGTCCCCTTAATACGGGCACGGTTTCTGTAGAATTTGTAGTGAAGAGATATTAAAAAGGATTTGTGATTATGTAATTTTTTGATTGTTGAATTAGAATAGATCGTAAAATTGTTAGAGGGTTTGTATTTCGGAACAACGTTTTCAATTGCATTCATTATGAAGTCTGCGATAATGGAAATATTATCAATTTCGGTATTTGTTAAATTACGGTTTATTGGGATATCATGAATATAATTAGATTGTAGATAATTGGTAAATTTAGGCCATTTGGTTTTTTTAAAAACAAAATGATGAGAGATGGAAGGGTCTATTGAATTTAACTCGTAGGGAATTGAGACTGTAAAATAAAGGGCCAAATGATCACTATTATAGTCCAAAGTCTTAATCTTACCATCCATCAAGTCAGTAAATTTGAGTCAACAGTCGGCCAGGCAGAGATCTATTGTTGAATTGGCGCTGGGGAATATAGGTGAGACGGGCATGTAAGGCTTCACTCTAGTCCCATAGCTCTAGTGTACGGGTTATCCCACAATGTGTGTTTGGCATTAAAATCACCAGCAATTAAGAAATAATTGCAAGGGTGAACTAGTTTAAGCTCTTCAACGATTCGGTCTAGCTCATCAATAAACACACGATCATCCCGGCCACCAGCATAGAGAGAGACCACAAAAAGTCTGAGACGACCTAATACAACATTTATGATTGTGTACTCAATTGCTAAATTATCCGAACATGAAGGGTGATGTACTATTTTATAAGGCAAAGAACTTTTGATAAGGATGGCTTTATCGCCACCTTTATTCGATTTACGATCGGTACGAATGAAATCGTGGTTGGTGAATTGTATACGGTGTTTTTCAGATAGTTTAGTCTCGCCGATGAGAACGATATCAAGATTATGAGTCTCAGCAAAATTGAGCAAATCGTTGCGTTTATTAAGAAACACTCTAGAGTTGACATTGATTGCGGCTATCTTGAGAGAGTCTATAGTAGCACTAGTCATCGTTAATGTTCAGACAATTGAAAATAATATTTATTTTATTTGAGTGTTCCTGAATCATGAAACTCACAAGGAGACCTTCTCACCTTCGGGTCATGGATTTGCTCTAAAATTTTTTTGGGGTCTCCTGGTACCCTCTACTGAAGCTCTCTGTGCTTAGTTTGATCTCATGGGCCTTAGGGCCCATTTTTTAGAAGATTTTCCACATTATAAAAACATCTTTGTTATTTTCTATATCGATATAGAAGTACTTAAACGAAAAAGTGCAACGATAAAAAGTTTTTTAATTTTTCAAAGAATCTGCATGAATTTTTTCAGAATTTTGGGGACCATCTACCACTCTCTTTAAGAAGTCTTAAAATCTATTCAAAAAGCGTCCAATTTGGGCCTCTTGAATTAAGTGATAGATGCTCCCAAAAATTCTGAAAAAATTCAAGCAGATTCTTTGAAAAATTAAAAAACTTTTTATCGTTGCACTTTTTCGTTTAAGTACTTCTATATCGATATAGAAAATAACAAAAATTTTTTTATAATGTGGAAAATCCTCTACAAAATGGGCCCTAAGGCCCATGAGATCAAACTAAGCACAGAGAGTTTCAGTATAGGGTACCAGGAGACCCCAAAAAAATTTTGGAGCAAATCCATGACCCGAAGGTGAGAAGGTCTCCTTGTCAGTATATCTAGTTTCTCGTTCAATAAGGCAAAGATTTGATTTGTAGAATTATCATTACTATTATTATTATCGTTACCAGGCTGGATGTTATTATTGCCGAACAAGATCTCGTTGCTCCCTATTATCCAACGACTTGCAGAGGGGATGTCAACGCAGGGCTTGCTTACTGATTTCATTTATGGGCGCCCGTAGGCTATCTTCTCAGTGAGGTTCCGGTTGTTCGACGAATTTCCCCAGAGTGTCTCCTTGACCTTCGTGAGTTTCGTCGCTCGATTATCGGAGATGTTCTTAAAAACCTTTGATGCAAGCTTCAGGTAAGGGCAGCCACGGTACGATGCCGGGTGTCCAAACTCTTCACTGTTCACCCAATATATCTTCGTTTTATCTGTGCAAACCTGTGGTAGAGCACATTGTCTGGGTTCGTGAGATTGGTCGCATTTCACGCATCTGTATCCTAAGAAGCAGTTTGCACTGGTTTGATTTATTTTCTGGCAATTTCTGCATTGATACGTTTGAGACTTCCGTAGTGGTTTCCAGCGCACCACTTGATGCAGTATTGTTCTAATTTTAGTGAGCGAGGACAATTCACTATCATGCGACATCCCCAAGGATCGAACCTCGGACTCCTGCGTGTCAGGCGAGCGGTCGAACCACTCGGCCAAACGGTCAAGTTATCAATGACAACCCAAGTTTCTTATTTGAATTATGCTCATATGTGGACTGAAATTATTAATTCCACAGTGAA